ATTTATTTCAGGGAATCCATAGTGTGGTTGTCACCGCAACACTTATATTTCGTTTTTATTAATTATCAGCCTTAAAAAATTACTTATTTGCAAAGCCTATGCCAAATGCTCGAGTATCAAGTCTTTATTAACTACAAAGTATGTCATGTTATGTTTTGCCAATGCAGTTGATAAAATAATTAGTCAAAAAAATCAATATTCATTTCTTAAGCCCACAAAAACTGATTTTTAAGTAAAACGTGTTGACCATTTGATTTGCTTGCCGTATGTTCAACAATTTCAGGCGAGTTTTTGGCAGCATTTTGTTTCTCTTTTCCCTCTGTTATTTTCTATTTCTCTATTTTTTTGGCGCATTTGTGGTGTTCGGTGTTCTTTTTTTTTGTTTCTTTGTTTTTGTTTTTGTTTTTTTACTTAAGCTGATTAGTGCATGAACAGCTCCCACGTACGCTATTGAATAATATTTAATATGCGCTCTGGAAAAAAGATCTCTCCATGCAAATATAATTTCTTTGCGGAAGTGATTAAAATAAATAAAGTTCTGTTCATACACCTAGTTAGTAAAGCTCAGTAAGCTTAAATGAGTATTGTTATTCATTCTATGCTAGAATGAATATCCTCCTTTCATAACCTTAGACTGCAGAGGAGTGAGACATTGAAGACGAGATCTGTACAAAGATGGAAGTAACTGGCATGTTTAGTTGATGTCGGAAATAGAAGATCACGGCCGATAACCCACTCCTTGATCTTCTTAATTCTTAACATCACTAAACGAAAGCCGAATGTAATAATTACTATTTGACAAGTCTAGGGGACTTGATGTTAATCTAAGTTGGCCACAAAGAAGGTGGAGTGAGGATAAAACGTCTCAATGAGATTCCTGCCAAAGAAACGGATTAACCGGTTCCCATACCACTTCTGTAAATTTCAAGGAAAAAGACATGTTATCATATTCAAATCTCTTTCCCCCAGGCGAAAAGCCATGTTCCGCAAACAGGGCGTAAGGAGATAGGGCGTTGAAACAAGTGGGGTCGAGCGATATAGCTGTGATGCGAGGGTTTGGGTATTACCAAAGAGACAAAACAAGATGGCGGACATTATAGTGGACCGTCAGAGAGACTATCTAGCAGACGTTAGCCATTATCCCGTGGCATTTATTTTCTCCAAGCAATAGAGAAGGAACAAATTATTTTTTCTCACGTTCGTTTTCTGTTTTGTTGAATTTTCCTCCCCCGTGAAAAGAATTTTGTATTGAATATATTTTCCACCTCTGTGACCCTTCTAACTATCTTTACTTGGTACGAAAATGGCATCATAACCCAGATGATAGCACTGACATTATTTTTAGACTAATTTTATCGCATCTCCGATTCAGTGTAATATGACTGTGTAATTCATCATCTGCTATGGCATTTATTTTTTGCTGCTCAGTTTCAAGGCTAGATGATCTGTTTTCACTATCAGCACTATTAAAGTTTGGTTTTGTTGGTGCACATTAGTATTTTTCTTCTCAATTAACACCTTATTGAGCTATCTCCAATATTTTAATATTAAAAGCATTAAAAAAAAGCATTACAGTCGGACAGTTTGTGAAAACTAAATTCTGGGGAAATTCATAATATCATAAAATTATCATTATTTTTATCTTGCACACTAATACTACTGTGCAATGAAGAATACATATGGGACAAAAATAAAATTCACTACCCTTAAAAAACTAAACAAAGAGGTCGCAAGAACACAAATAACTAGCCCAGCAAATATTTTTATTCGGTAATAACAGCTTTTTGTAATGAAACCTGTAGGCCCCAAAACGTTACAAAAATGTCACACCTCGCAAAATAATTTTCCACTTGTTTCCTAGACGTATAACCACGAGGTTTGCAGTTCCTATAAGCAAATCCGTAGGTGTTTTGTGTTCAATGTAAAATTCAGTTCGTTTCTAGGTGTATATATACAGGTACTGTTACTTGTATTGTTTAACTCGCTGATGAAGTGAGCGCTAGTCACGCGAAACGTTTAGGAGACAATAAAACAAATTTAAAACTCAAGAAGTTCGCAGAAGTGCTGCTCACTGGTTTATAGTTATAAAATATTCAGTCTACGGGGAATATCTTCAGACTTTCCATCCCTCTGAAGCAGACAGGTAGAACGTGTTAGAAGATTCAAACTCATTCGGAGAAAGTTAACTGATGAGCCAGACGTCGAACGCTCGTGAACTTTAACTCACTCAAGTTGGTTCCGGCCTCTCATCATTAAGGCCTAGAATCTTGGACAAAACTGTCGAGAAAATTGCGTACTTGGCGGGCATTTTTTCTAAACTTCGTAGCCGACCGATTCTTCCCCCCCCCCCCCCTGGAAGCAGTGTTGTTGGGTCTTCAAAAGAAAGCCGGATCCCTAAGCATTTGTAGGAAGCAACTTTGAACTGGGGGAGGGGGTTTTCGTTACGCAAAGCCGTTGATTTGGAGATAGTTTTGTTGCGTTAGGTAGTGCACATTAATGAAAACATTTTCTCAAGTAGTTTTGTCCAGGATTGTAGGCCTTAGAACCATATGGTGATGGTGGGACCGCTGGTGGAGCATACGAAAATCACTCACGTAATTTTGCATATTACCAGAGAGTGATCTGTGCATTTAACGTAACTCTTTCAAAGGAGTGCGCTTCACATTCTATTGTTCACTGCATAAACAAGGCTTTTATTCGAGTTAATCAATTATGCTACACAATTTGAGCGTTCAAAATTATTCTACTTCAGACACGTCGAAAGTGTTGGAGTGTAGCCTCGTCCAGACGGAAGCTCGGAGTATATTGCTGAACGGGTCCTATGTACATGTTCTGTCGTCTTTTCTCCCGAAATTTGTTTCAAGCGTCTTAGAAAATTTGCATTCTGAAAAAGACGAGGTGGTGCACGGGCGTGAACAAGCGAGAATGTCGTATTAACAGAAACAAGTTATCATATGCTAGATGCAGTCACGGTGTTATCATTTTGCGATGGAAGAAGGCTTAACGTCCTTCAACAAAAACAACCGTGTTAACTTTTCTAGTGGAAAAATGTAAAGTGAAGCTCCCCAGGTTGTACATTTTTTTAGAATACATGGAAGAACTTTTCGTTCTCAAAGTCGTCCTTGTCCTCAATTCTAAAGGAGTCTAATAAAAAAGAAAACTCTACCTCGATTCTCTGTTGTCTTATTGGCTAATTTTTTCACGCATCAATCCTAAAGCAAGTGCAGCGATTGCGAGTATCGTAATTAAGGTCTATGTATTAGAGTTTTTTTTTTTGAAAAAGGTTCTTGGTACCACAAACGTAGACTGCTTATCACCAACCTTCACACTTTTTTTCAATTAAGCAGCTGTTAAGGCTTCTATGGTGCAAAGACACCCCTTTTTCAAGACGCTACTGTAGAGAAATTGTGTACTCAAGATCCTAAAAACCATACAGTTGTTTCATCGTCACATACCTGTTTAGACAATGTAAGGAGTACCCTTTCGGGGAAAAGCAAGAAAAGGTTCAATAGTCCAGTTTCGAATTAAAAATTACCGCTGAATACAAACATAAACATTACTCCGGCGTCACATTTATACAGGGTTAGCCTCGACGTAAAGTAAAATATTCAGATATTCCGGCAGGTAAGTGTTTGAAATTTCAATATACACAATAGACAGTAATAAACAGGTCTTTTTCTCGTTAGAATTTGTGAATATATTACTTCAGATGGAGGCTAACCCTGTAAAAAATGCGTCTTCACTTCTTTAATTCAGCGGTCATAGCGAACTCGAAACTGGACTTTTAATTGTTTTTTTGAGTCGACTTACAATTGATCATTAATCTGAGTTGTCAAAGAAATATATTAACACATATTTGATTTTTTTACTATTTATTTTGTTTTACATTTGCCACATAGAATAAATATTACAGAAAGAAAATGAAAACAAAATATTTATTATTACTAAGATTGCACAATTTACAGGGCAAGCTCAGGGCAGGAAAAGCTCCAAAAAAGAGTTCAAAGTTAAATTCATATTAATTGACTTAACTTTTGTAATAGATAGAATGGCGAGGAAGCCCAATTGAAGCTAAATAGCTTGCAGAAATTGGGCTCCTCATACTTAATTATGATGTAACGTAAGCTGCCATATCATATCATATAGTACTAATATTGAAGTTACAACGTCCAACAATCCATGAGCGTTCCTAAGCGCTTTTTATGACCAAAGTTTGAGTAGTATGACCAGCATGTTTTAATAAATGCGGTTTTTTATGAGCACCTAAGGTAATAGCCGGAATACACTACTTCGCAATGATTAGTCATTTAATTAATCCCGCGATGATTTAGACGGTTGACTTAGAAAGCAATAGATAAGAAAATTCAAAAATGTGTAAAGCCGTACCTGAAAAAAGAAAACAATCTGTCGTAGGATTTCTTTGGCACAAATATGAAATATAGCTAAATATTTAATATTTGCCTTCATGTAGATTTAATCATATTCTGTTCATTTGTCCTTTCAGAACTGTTATCTTTCGCTCTTGTTCAACGAAATGCCTTAGACTTGAGATGGGGGAAGCGGGAAGACGAACTTTAGAACATTATCTAACATTTCCCTTTAATGCAAGTATCATCTGAAAGTGTGATTGTCACAGTTTTTGCAATTCGAGTTTCATGTCTCACTTATACGCAAAGTCCTCGTGAAAAACTTTGAGCGATAAAAGCTACCGACTCAGATTCAACAACTTCTGGGTGTTATGGCCTTTTGCAGTACTGCTCTTTGTGTCAATCAGCGCAAGAGGGCTTTCCACAAGTGTACGACTTGCATTTTTTTCAACTGCAAACACAATGTAGTCACAACCTATTTCAGTGATGATACTTTTACACAATCGGCGTAATTTTATTGCTATCCTCAGTTGACATATCAACTCATGACCTCTATGCTGAATAAGCGACAGGCCGTTGACAATCAAAATATAAGAACTGAATGCGTGCATGTCCACTTGCTCGCCCTGGTCCTATGTTCTGTTGTCTTTTCCTGCATAATTTCTTCAAAGCGTCTTTAAATATTGGCATCCTGAAACTGTAGACGAGGGGATTCACCATAGAATTTGCCAGATACATAGCGTTCGCGAACCGAACTACTGGTACAGAAAGGCATTGAGGAGAAAATTCTCTCGTTGAGAGGATTATAAAAGCAGGCATCCAAAACACAAGCGACGAAGCAATTGTGATAAAAATTGTTTTTGAAAGTCGTAAATTTTGTGCCCGTAATTGATGGTTATGAATATCTAGCCCTGGTGATGATGCGCGCAATCGATTGCGTATTTTAAGGTAACTTGTACAGATTATCAGTTGGGAAATAAAAAGACTTGTGACACTTGTGGTAAAAACATAATCCCATTTCACCGCAGTGTTATACAAGGCGATGATGTTTGTGGCAAAGAAACAAAGCCCAACTGCCCACACAAAAACGATGCTCTTCGTGTAAACCCGACTGTTTATGGAGCGATGACGGATTGGCCATAACACGGAGAAAGCACGTTCCAAGGAGACAAGAGCGAGAAAATAGACGGACGTGCTCGAAAACAAAAGTTGAAATGCAACCGAAGGATTTGACGGGCTTTGACTCAAAAGTACGTCACTTTCTAGCATGATCTCAGATTTGAAAGCTGCCAAGACTGTTAGTTCTGTAATCCCTACAAGTAAATCTGCAATTGCGAGGTTAATCAAAAGAAAATAGGTTCGTTTTATGCCGGATCTTTGATTCCAAAATACGAAAATAGTAAACGTGTTTCCAATAATAATCATGATTGCCTCCAGTGTGTAGATGACTACGAAAAAAATGGACGTTGATAAAGGCATGTCTTTCCTCGTTCTGTTATCTAGTTCCCTATCCCAATACACCAGCAACTAGTTGCTTGCCCTTAATTCTGGAAAGGACAGTACACTGTACATGTACTTCCCGATCACAAGAGAATATCGTTCTTATATTATATCTCAGTATTAGCACTGTATCTGTAGACCAAATATATATATTTTTGTATGAAGGCAGTTAAGACGATCAGGCCTCTTCAAAGCGCGAGTCCAAGGCAAATGATGCTTGAAGCTGACTGAGTTGTTAACGAAATGATTAAATTAATGTAATATAGTGATAATATTGAAGGTAAACTTACGTCCGTCCGCCCATTTATTTGTCCTAAGCGCTGTTTACGACATTTCCTTAGCAGAAGTATAAATAGAAGGGCTTATCAGTTTATTTGCATCTAGTATAATAGCAGAATACTTCGGGCTGTCTTTTTTAATCAACGAAAATGAAAATGGTTCAGTAGTAGTTAGAAAGCAATAGATAAGAAAATTCAAAAATGAAATTGGCATCTAACAAAAAAAGAATATTGGCTTACGTAAGACTCCTAAATTTGTGTAATATTAATACATAGATTTAATCGACATATTCTGCTCATGTCCTTTCAGCGGTTTAACATTTTATATACCTTTCGTTATTTATAAAATTGACATTTTCAATGTCCATATTTACCTAAAATTTAAACTGGGAGAAAAAGCGAGAAATTTAGAACATTATCTAACATTAAGTGTCATTTGAAAAGTGTGATTGTCAGGAAGGCAACTGACTCAGGACTCATCTTATCTAAGTTAGGGAATCCATAATGTGGTGGTCACTGAAACACTTTTGTTTTTTGTTTGTTTGTTTGTCTGTCTTTTTTTTTAACTTAAACTGACTTACTGCATGGACAGCTCCCATGCTGTTAAATATTAAAATTCATGCGCTCTGGCAAAACTATCGCTCCATGCAAATAATTTCTTTGTAGACATAATTAAAATAAATAAAGTTCCGTTCATACACCGAGTTTATACATCTCAGTAAGCTTAAATGAGAATTATTATTCATTCTATGCTAGAATGAATATTCTTCCTTCATAACCTTAGACTGCAGAGCGGTGAGGCATTGAAGATGGGATCTGTACAAAGATGAAGGTAACTGGCATGTTTTGGTTGATGTCGGACTAGAAGATCACGGCCGATAACCCGCTCCTCAATCGTCTTATTTCTTCATATCACTAAATGAAACCCGAATCCAATAATTGCTATTTGATAAGTTGAGGAGACTTGATGTTAATCTCAGTTGGCCACAAAGAAACAGTGAGGATACAAAGTCGATTTAAAGGCCCAAGTTTCACAAGATTTTTTCACATCATCTCGTGTCAATAAACACGATTATATATTCGCATCTATAATGCAAAGATTGTATATACTTCGGTTATCAGTTTTTTGGACATCGGGGTTATCTAGTATTGGTAATATAAAAAAGATGAGTGATTCAAGAACGCATATTAGATATGTAATTAAAGTACGATGAACTTAAAAACAAAATCTAAACCTGATTTCTGTACCGTAAGATTATTTTTTGGCTCATTCAAAATCTACCCATGGAAAGATTTATATTATATTCGAATCATCTCCTATCAATGGAAAATAATTACAATTTTTCGGTGTTGATAAAAAAAAAAATGCCATTTTACATGTTTTAATCTTTGAGAGGGTGTCGAATAGGGGAAAATCATGTGGGAGTAGCTTTTCCCGGTCATATATTATTTTCGTTTTGACAAATGGGATATTTCAAAATGATAAATGGTGAAATATTCGTTAAGGTTTATGGGGATCTCTGGGTTTCTATAAACGCACTTAGTTACATCCGTTCTCTAACTGTTTAAAAACTGTATATCATGTCATTAGTGCTTGGCTAATGAGTACCATTAGCCCGGCAGCTTGTTGCAATGAAAGTTTATCGCATATCCTCCAGCTCTTCTGAGAAACGAGTGGCATAAATATTATTTGAAATATTACAACTAATTAGTGATTTGCAAAAGTTAATATTCATTTAAATGTCACAAATATCACAAAGATCTTTTTTTTTTAGTAATTTGATTACTGCTTAGACTTGGGAAAAATGTAAGGCTGAACTTTTCAGGCATTAAAATGCATCACATAACCATGAGCTTTTCTTAGTTATTTAAGACTTTAGCCGATTAACCTGCACCTATTCGCACTGCATGAATAAAAGCATTGCATATTATACTAATAACCCGTCATGAGCGTCATTCAGTCCTAGTAGTGAATATCAAATATGTCAAACGCGTTTGAGGCTATTCAAAAAAAGGAGAATTTTTCAAGTAGCAACAAGTTTAATTTCAGAGACCGTATCTTCAACAATTTCAGCTCCTTCAAATGATTCACAATCTGGCAGCCTGTGATTTATATGGGTTAATCAAGCTGTTAAGGGGTGACGATGGGATTAATTAATTCATAGGAATCTACGAAACATAATATAAAAATATCATTTTTTTACAACCATGTTGGTGGTGGAGCTTACAAAAATCACTCGCGTAATTGTACATTTTACAAGGATGATCTGTGCATTTAGCGTAACCCTTTCAAAGGTGTACGCTTCACAGTTGTTGAATGCATAGATAAGGCTTTTACTTAATTAATTATGCCATACAATCTGAGCTTTCAATATTTTTCTACTTCAGGCAGGTCAAAAGTATTGGAGTGAAGCCCCTCCCGGGCAAAAGCACGGACTATTTTGCAGAGCTGGACTTGTGTTCTGTCGTCTTTTTGTCCGCGTCAAGTCAACACCTCTTTTAATACTTAAAGTTTGTCTGTGTTAGCTCCTTAAACTCCCAATCTTCCATGAACAATAGATGGTTAATGGGTTTCATGTCTTCGCCAGTTTATATCCTGCAGCCCTCATTTTTCGTAACACTATTGTGAGTGGCAACATGACAATTGAAAAAAAGGATGATAAGGAGTCTTCTTGCCAGATTCCTCTTCTGATGTTATCCCGCCCAAACTGTCTTCCAGTTCACCATGCTGTTGCTAATATAGGGGTCATATACTTGACCGCTTCGCAACCCCGCTATAAACATTGGCACCTTTTAGATTTTGTAATGGTAAGGCAGGTAGACCAAAATGACATCTTCAACTGACAAGAACCATGAGAGGCGCTGACTGTTCAACTGACCATGTTTTGTTAAGATCCACTGTTCCCCTCTCCGTCAGGAAATAAACTACTACATATAACTGCTGCCAAATCACCCTGTAAGATTGATGTAACGAAACTAGGAGATAAAGATAACCAGCAGAAGTTGAAGAAGGAAAAGGACAAGGCTTTGGCAGGATCTCGACATCAGTAGTCAGAGACTGAAGAAACTACAACTACATATGACCCCGCTCTGAGTGTTTTAGGTAAACCCAGTCGGAACCACCAGGATTGTTTCGAAGACAGTAAAAAGAAGGTGAAGGATCTTTTTGGATGAAGGAAATAATGCAAGGGTGAAACAGCTTCAGCTGAACATTACTGAGACCAAACAGGGCAGAAATGACTGGTGCTCGACGGAATCTACAGCAGTACACCAGGAAAATAAAGTCTCAATGGTGGGGGGGCTGAAGAATTCCGGCAGGCGGCAAATAAAAACGACATGAAAGCCTTTTAAAATGGCTTGAGAGAAGTATATGGGCAACAGAAGAGCTAGGGGTACAACAAAGCGTACTGTCCTTAGATAGATTTGCAAACCAATTTGACCAGCTACTTAACATGACAGGAAAGGTTGATCGCTCTGCCGTGGACACCACTGCACCGAGGCCGAACATTACACTTGTTGATGAAAATCCTGAATTGGATGAGCTGTTGGATGCCATCAGTGCAAGAAAGGAAGGTAAAGCCCTTGGAGGGTGTGGTATAGCTGCCGAAATCTGGAAACATTGTGGCTGTGAAACTCGCCTCTAGCTTGTACAAACTGGTTTTGCAGATCTGGGAAACACCAAAAGACTGGAAAGATCCCATTATCGTGTCAGTCTTCGAGAAGGGAAGTAGAAAGGACTGTGGGAACTATCGAAGTATTCCTCTTCTCTCAATAGCCGAAAATATCTTGGTTCGCATATTCCTCAACAGATTGAACGAACACATAGTTCCCAATATCTTTTCTGAGACTCAATGTGGTAATTCGCAGTGGTAGAGGCACTGTGGATATGATCTTCTTCTGTCTGCGACAGTTACAAGCCTGTGTAAAGAGCATAACATGCCGCTGTATGCCGTTTTTATCGACTTCACAAAGGCTTTTAATACAAGTGCTTGGAAAGTATGTATGTACTGCTCGGAAAGTATTGATGAACTACTGAATTTATCAATCTGGTAAGGGCACTGCACAACGAAATGCAAGCAACACACGTGGCTCAAGGAAACTCCATCTCCAAGGAATTGCTGTCACCGATGAGTCAAACAAGGTTGCGTGCTCGCTCCGACACTGCGATATTTAAAGTAACCTTTGATGGTGTTGGTGACGGTATCTTCAACCAAACTCGTATTGATGCTGACCTGTTTAACGTAGTCCTTTTCAGAGAAAAAACACGCACAACGTAGATCCTTGTGAGGGAAATGATGTTTGCTGTAGTTGCCCACAGTGCTGATAATATTCAGAGTCTGGTGGACAGGTTCACCAGAGCTGCCGCCCAATTTTTCCTGAGATCAACAATAAAAAAACTGAATGCTTATACCAGCCAATGCAAAACCTAGATCCAGCTCCTGAGCCAACAACCATAACTGTCAATCAAGAGGCCCAGGTGCAGTGTTACGAGTTCAAATGCTTATGAAGCACTATCTGTAACAATGCCAGCTCAGATAAAGGATGGGAAATGTAAGTGCTGCTTTTGTAAAACTACCGGAGAGGCTATGGAAAGGCCGGCATTTGTCTGTTAAAGTCATGTGCAAAGTCAATCAAGCTGTTGTCCCTTCTTCCCGCCTGTATGGTCCTGAAACATGGGCAATATATCAGAGTCAAGTGAAGAAGCTCCAAGCTTATATCATGGCACATCTAAGAGTAATAATGAACGTACCATGGAAGGACAAGATCACGAATGTGGAAATTCTCTGCCTTACAGGACTACCATCAATGGCTGACTTTCTGATTGAGAAAAATCTTAGATGGCTGGGTCGCGTGCATAGGATAGATATTAACAGACTACCAAGGCGGCCGTTATACTTTCAACTCTGTTTGGGGATGCGTAATCAAGGGAGGCCTAGATTAAGGTTCAAAGATGTTGCAAAGAGAAACATGAAATGGAGAGAGACATCGATCTCGATGGCAGGAGAAGGCCAACGACAGACCTACCTGAAGGAGACTTATCAAACCATGCTGCTCCCTAGAACGGTCTCAGTCGAACCGACTGACACCGATGACGATGATACTCTTGGCGTTCCAACCATCACTAAGCATTTCAGGATCCACGAATGTCGCATCATATCACTAGAAGGATTACTAACGAAAGATCAAAGACCCTTATACCCTCATCAAGGAGGTCTTTTCCACGCCAGAAACCAGGGTGGTGTCTCCTGGTAGAGAGGGACCTATGTCCATTTACAATATCCTCGCGGTCTTCTTTGAAATTGTGCATTGCCCATGATGAAGCCTGCGTAGTTAGCTTTTTTAGTGCAATACGAGTGATTTAGTCTTTACTCCATATCATACAGCTGTATATATTCTGCAAATATATACAAGTGACAAGCGGGTATTTCATCTGGGACATCTGATATTGCCGGTTTTGAAGAACAGCGTTTGCAGTTTCAGTAATACACTATTTTTGCTATGCGCTTGGAAACTCCCCATGCAGTTCTCGAATCTATACAGTCTCTTTTGTGTGACTAAAAATCACTCATATTGCTGCATGCCCTGGTAGAGCATAAATTGTCCTAATTTACGCTCTACTCCACCTGAAGACACCACCATTGTAAATGCCTTATTTTGTACCTTTTTAAATGCCATAATTCTTCTTGCCAGCACGGATTTTTAAATCAGATTGTCCCGGACACAGCTATAGTAGCCCTAAGAATATCACACCATGATATTTAGACGCCCCTCTCTGCTTCCTTTGCTTTATTTCAGAGAAATGGCTTACAAGATAGCATTAATGCCCTGTTATATGTGCACTTCCTTTGAACGGGCGAATTATTGCTTGGATGGGCAACTGCTGCAAAAAAGATGGTTGTTTCATAAACACAACATTTTTTTAAGTTGTATGAGTAAAAAGTAAAATTGATTTAAAAATTACTGAATCATCTCGTAAAAGTTACTTCTAATGGGCAACAAGGGTTTAAGGTATAATTGTCATTGCAAATCATTCGTGTTTATTTATCCACCACCCCCATGCAAAGCCTTGATAGAGAGATTAAAAAGAGCTTAATTATAAGATGATTCAACCTGGAGAAAGTTTTTCACACAGTTTTTGTAGTGGTCGTATTCGCTGGCTGTTCTGGTAGTTTTCAATTTTTACTGTTCAAACTGTGTTTGAATCAATAATTTCATGCCTCACTACGAAAAGTCTTACGGAAAAAACGTTGAGCAATTAAAACTACCTACTAACATTCAAAATTAAAACTCCCTTTTACCATGGTATTTTACAGTATTGCTCCGTGTGTTACTGAATTACACTGTTCCCAGTCGCCTATTTTTCTGTAAGATCGTCGACCAAGATGGCACTCATTCCAGCGGTAAGCGCTCGATCCTGACGATCTTACGAAAAGTAGGAGACTGTGAATAGTCTATGCGTTGATCAGTGCAAATGGGCTTTCCACAAGTTTATACCTCGCATTGTTTCAACTGCAAACACAATGCAACCACAGCCTATTTCAGTCATCATTTTTCACAATCAGCGTCAACATATTGCTATCCCTAGTTTGACATATCAACTCAAAACCGTAGATGCTGGTATAACTTTTGTTAAATAAGTGACAGACAAAATACAAGGCTGTGTGCATGCCAACTTGCTAGCCTGGCCCTATACTCTGTTGTCGTTTCCTGCAGAGTTTCCTTAAAGCGTCTTTAAACATTGTCATCCTGAAACTGTAGACGAAGGGATTCACCATAGAATTTGCCAGATACATAGCGTTCGCGAACCAGACTACTGGTACAGGAAAGCATGCAGGACAAAATTCTCCAGTTGAGTAAACTACAAAACCAGGTATCCAAAACACAAGCGACGACGCGATTGTGATGAAAAGCGTTTTAGAAAGCCGTAGATTGTGTGCCTGTAATTGATGGCCATGAATATCAAGCCCTGGTGATGATGCGCGCAACCGATTGCGTATTTTAAGGTAACTTGTACAGATTATCAGTTGGGAAATAAAAAGACCTGTGTTACTTGCTAGAAAAGCATATTCCTCTTTCACCTCTGGGTAATGAATGGCGATGAGGGTTAAAGCAAAGAAACAAAGGCCGACTGCCCACACAAAAACGATGCTCTTGATGTAAACTCGACTGTTTATGGAACGATGACGAATTGGCGATAACACGGAGAAAGCACGTTCCAAGGAGACAAGTGCGAGAAATAAGACAGACGTACTCGGAAACAAAAGTTGAAAAGCAACCGAAGGATTTGATTGTCTTTGCATCCTCAATAGTGAGTCACTCTCTAGCATGACCTCAAATTTGAAAGCTCCCAGGACTGTTAGTTCTGTAATTCCTACAAGTAAATCTGCAATTGCAAGGTTAACCAAAAGGAAATAAGTCCGGTTTATGCGGGATCTTTGATTCCAGAATACCAAAATTGTAAACGTGTTACCAATAATGATCATGATTGCCTCCACTGTAAAGATGACCACGAAGAAAATGGACGTGGATGAAGGCATGTCTTCTTGTTCTGTTGTCTAGTTCCCTTAATTCGGAACAACTCGCGCACAGTTGAAAAGGTCACAGTACACTGTACTTGCCGATCTCAAGAAAATATCGTTCTTGTCTTATTTCTCAGTATTAATACTGTATTTGTAGACCAAAGAAAGATACTGTATTTCTACATGAAGGCAGTTTGGACGGTAAGGTGATCTTTGTAAAGCTCATCGAGTCCAAGGTACATGATGCATGAAACTGACTGAGTTGTTAACGAAATGATTACATCAAAAATTAACATATGTCTTGATAATATTGAAGATAAACTAGCGTCCGTCCGCCCATTTATGTCCGGAGCGCTTTTTACGACATTTACTTAGCAGCAGTGTAAATAGACGCGCTTTACATCTAGTGTGATAAAAGATTTCTTCGAGCTGACATTTTTAATTAACGAAAATGAAAACGGTTCAGTAATTAGAAAGCAACAGATAAGAAATCCATCCAGGGAATCTATAATGTGGTTGTCACTGCAACACTTATATTAAGTTTTTATTAATTATCATCCTTTGAAAATTACTTATTTGCAAAGCCCATGTTAAATGCTCCAGTATCAACTCTTTAATTACAAAATATCTCACGTTATGTTTTGCTAATACAGCTGATAAAATAATTAGTCAAAAAATTCACTATTCATTTCTTAAGCCCACAAAAATTGATTTTTACGTAAAACATGTTGACCATTTGATTTTAATTTCTTGCCGTATGTCCAACAATTTCAGTCGAGGTTTCAGCAGAATTTTTTTTCTCGTTTCCTTCAGTTATTTTCGATTTTCTATTTCTCTATTTTTTGGCACCTTTGTGGTGTACAGTGTTTTTTTTTTTTACTTAAACTGATTACTGCATAAACAACTCCCAGGCTGATGAATAATATTTATGCGCTCTGGAAAAATATCTCTCCTTGCAAATAACTTCTTTGTATAAGTACTATGATTAAAATAGATACAGTTCCGTTCATACACCAAGTTTATACATCTCAGTAAGCTTAACTGAGTATTATAATTCATTCTATGCTAGACTGAATATCCTCCTTTATAACCTTAGACTGCAGAGGAGTGAGGCATTGAAGATGGGATCTGTACAAAAGATGGAGGTAACTTGCGTGTTTATTTCATGTCGGACTAGAAGATCACGGCCGATAACCCCCTCCTCGATCTTCTTGATTCTTCATTTCACTAAACGAAAGCCGAATCCAATAATTGCTATTTGATAAGTCGCGGAGACTTGATGTTAATCTCAGCTGGCCGCAAAGAAACAGTGAGAATAAAACGTCGATTTACGTCAGTCACTGAGGCCCAAGTTTCACAACACATTTTTTACATCTCGTGTCAATAAACACGATTATATATTCGCATCTATAATGCAAAGATTGTATACTTCGGTTATCAGTGTTTTGGACATCGGGGTTATCTAGTATTGGTAATACAAAAAAGACGAGTGATTTAATAACGCATAATAGATATGATCAGAAATTAATTAAAAGTACGATGAACTTAAAAACAAAATCTAAACTTGATTTCTGTGCCGTAAGATCTTTTTGGCTCATTAAAAATCTACCCATGGAAAGATTTCTATTTTATCTCCTATCAATGGTAAATAATTACAATTTTTCGGTGTTGATGAAAATAAAAAAATGCTGTTTTCCATGTTTTTCATCTTTGAGAGGATGTCGAATAAGGGAAAATCAAGACATGTAGCTTTTTCCCGTTCATATATTATTTTCGTTTTGACAAGAGGGATATTTTAAAATGATAAATGGTGAAATATTTGTTAAGGTTTATGGGGATCACATTACATCCGTTGTCTAACTGTTTTAAAACCGTATATCATGTCATTAGTGCTTGGCTAATGATCAGCCCGGCAGCTTGTTGCAATGAAAGTTTATCGCATATCATCGAGCTCTTCTGAGAAACGAGTGGCATAAATATTATTTGAAATATTACAAATAATTAGTGATTTGCAAAAGTTAATATTCATTTAAATGTCACAAATATCACAAAGATCTTTTTTTTAGTAATTTGATTACTGCTTAGACTTGGGAAAAATGTAAGACTGAACTTTTCAGGCATTAAAATGCATCAGATAACCATGAGCTTTTCTTAGTTGTTTAAGATTTAAGCCGATTAACCTGCACCTATTCGCACTGCATGAATAAAAGCATTACATATTATACCATTAATTTCTTAAATAAGTTAACAGCGCTGAAATTTAACACAGCACAGGATATTATCTTTAACTCGCGTCATGACCGTCATTCAGTCCTATTAGTGAATATCAGATATGACAAATGCGTTTGAGGCTATTCAAAAAAGGAGAATTTTTCAATTAGCAACAAGTTTAATTTCAGAAACCGTATCTTCAACAATTTCAGCTCCTTCAAATGATTCACAATCTGGCAGCCTGTGATTTATATGGGTTAATCAAGCTGTTGAGGGGTGACGATGGGATAATTAATTTATAGGAATCAACGAAACATGATATAAAAATATCATTTTTTTACAACCATGTTGGTGGCGGAGCTTACAAAAATCACTCGCGTAATTGTACATTTTACCAGGATGATCTGTGCATCTAGCGTAACTCTTTCAAAGGTGTACGCTTCACAGTTGTTGAATGCATAGATAAGGCTTTTACTTAATTAATATGCCATACAATCTGAGCTTTCAATATAATGGGTCTCATGCCTTCGCCAGTTTATATCCTGCCGCTCTCATTTTTCGTAACACTATTGTAAGTGGCAACATGACTATTAAAAAAAAGATGATAAGGAGTCTCCTTGGCAGATTCCTAATCTGATGTTATCCCGCCCAAACTGTCTTCCAGTTCACCATGCTGTTGCTAATATAGGGGTCATATACTTGACCTCTTCGCAACCCCGCTATAAACATTGGTACCTTTTAGATTTTGTAATGGTAAGGCAGGTAGACCAAAATGACATCTTCAACTGACAAGAACCATGAGAGGCGCTGACTGTTCAACTGACCATGTTTTGTTAAGATCCACTGTTCCCTTCTCCATCAAAAAATAAACCACTACATAACCGCTGCCAAACCACCCTGTAAAATGGACTTTCCACAAGTGCATACCTTGCGTTATTTCAACTGCAAACACAATGTGACCACAGCCTATTTCAGTGATCATTTTTCACAATCAACGTCATTATATTGCTACCCCTACTAGTTTGACATATCAACTCATAACCGTAGATGTTGGTATACCTTTATGCTGAATAAGTGACAGGCTTTTGATAGTCAAAATACAGGGCTCTGTACATGCCGACTTGCTAACCCTGGTCCTATGTTCTGTTGTCTTTTCCTGCAGAGTTTCTTTAAAGCGTCTTTAAATATTGTCATCCTAAAACTGTATACGAAGGGATTCACCATAGAATTTGCCAGATACATAGCATTCGCGAACCAAACTACTGGTACAGGAAAGCATGGAGGACAAAATTCTCTAGTTGAGTAAACTACAAAACCAGGTATCCAAAACACAAGCGACGACGCGATTGTGATGAAAAGCGTTTTAGAAAGCCGTAGATTGTGTGCCGGTAAGTGATGGCCATGAATATCAAGCCCTGGTGATGATGCGCGCAACCGATTGCGTATTTTAAGGTAACTTGTACAGATTATCAGTTGGGAAATAAAAAGACCTGTGTTACTTGCTATAAAAGCATATTCCTCTTTCACCTCTGGGTAATGAATGGCGATGAGGGTTAAAGCAAAGAAACAAAGGCCAACTGCCCACACAAAAACGATGCTCTTGATGTAAACTCGACTGTTTATGGAGCGATGACGGATTGGCGATAACACGGAGAAAGCACGTTCCAAGGAGACAAGAGCGAGAAAATACACTGACGTACACGGAAACAAAAGTTGAAAAGCAACCGAAGGATTTGATTGTCTTTGCATCAATAGTCCGTCACTTTCTAGCGTGACCTCAAATTTGAAAGCTCCCAGGACTGTTAGTTCTGTAATTCCTACAAGTAAATCTGCAATTGCGAGGTTAATCAGAAGAAAATAAGTCCGATTTATGCGGGATCTTTGATTCCAGAATACGAAAATAGTAAACGTGTTACCAATAACGATCATGATTGCCTCCAGTGCGAAGATGACCACGAAGAAAATGGACGTCGATGAAGGCATGTCTTTCTTCGTTTTGTTATCTAGTTCTCTTAATTCGGAACAACTTGCGCACAGTTGAAAACTGGGTCGATCTCAGAAAATACTGTTCTTATTAATATTATTTCTCAGTATTAATACTGTATTTGTCTAAGACCAAATATAGATACTGTTTTTCTACATGAAAACAGTTAGGACAGGTGATCTTTGGAAAGCTCGGCGAGTCCAGGGTACATGATGCTTGAAGCTGACTGAGTTGTTAACGAAATGACTATATAATTATCAAAAAAGCATATGTCTTGATAATATTGAAGATAAACTGGCGTCCGTCCGCCCATTTATGTCCTAAGCGCTTTTGACGACATTTTATTAGCAGCAGTGTAAATAGACGCGCTTTGCATCTAGTATCATAAAAGATTTCTTCGGGCTGTCATTTTTAATTAACGAAAATGAAAACGGTTCAGTAATTAGAAATCAACAGATAAGAAAATTCACAAATGAAGTTGGCATCTCATAAAAAAAACTTGTCTTAAGATTTAATCGACATGCATATTCTGCTCATGTTCTTTCAGCGTTAATTTTATATACATTTCGTTGTTTGTAAAATTGACAATTTCAATGTTCATATTTAACTAAAATTTAAGGGAGAAGAGCGAGAAAATTAGAACATGATCTAACATTAAGTGTTATTTGAAAAGTCTGATTGTCAGGAAGGCAACTGAATCAGGACTCATCTCATCTAAGTTATTTCAGGGAATCCACTTATATTTCGTTTTTATTAATTATCATCCTTAAAAAATTACTTATTTGCAAAGCCCATGCCAAATGCTCTGAGTAACAAGTCTTTAATAACAAGGTATGTCACGCATATTATGTTTTGCTAATGCGGTTGATAAAATAATAAGTAAAAAAAAATCAATATTTATTTCTTAAGCTTACAAAAATTGATTTTTAAGTAAAACATGTTGACCATTTGATTTGCTTGCCTTATGTGTGTGTGTGTTTTTATTATTATTATTATCTTTTATAATTATTATTTTTTACTTAAACTGACTTACTGCATGGACAGCTCCCACGCTGTTGAATAATATTTATGCGCTCTGGAAAAACTATCTCTCCATGCAAATAATTTCTTTGTACAAATGATTAAAATAAATAAAGTTTCGTTCATACACCGAGTTAGTACAGCTCAGTAAGCTTAAATGAGTATTATTATTCATTCTATGCTAGAATGAATATTCCCCCTTCATAACCTTAGACTGCAGAGGAGTGACGCATTAAAAGTTGGGATCTTTACAAAAATAAAGGTAACTGGCATGCGTAGTTGATGTCGGACTAGAAGATCACGGCCGATAACCCCCTCCTCGATCTTCTTGATTCTTCATAGCACTAAATGAAAGCCGAATCCAATAATTACTATTTGATAAGTCGAGGAGACTTGATTTTAATCTCAGTTGGCCACAAAGAAACAGTGAGGATACAAAGTCGATTTCACAACATCCACATCTCATGTCAATAAACACGATTATTTATTCGCATCTATAATGCAAAGATTGTATACTTCGGTTATCAGTTTTTTGGACATCGGGGTCATCTAGTATTGGTAATACAAAAAAGACGGATGGTTCAAGAACGCATATTAGATATGTAAGTACGATGAACTTAAAAACAAAATCTAAACCCGATTTCTGTGCCGTAAGATTATTTTTTGGCTCATTAAAAATCTACCCATGGAAAGATTTATATTTTATCTCCTATCAATGGTAAATAATTACAATTTTTCGGTGTTGATGAAAAAAAAAATAATTTTCCATGTTTTTAATCTTTGAGAGGGTGTCGAATAAGGGAAAATCATGCAGGAGTAGCTTTTCCCGTTCATATTTTATTTTCGTTTTGACAAGTGGGATATTTTAAAATGATAAATGGTGAAATATTCGTTAAGGTTTATGGGGATCTCTGTGTTTCTATAAACGCACTTAGCGTTTTTACATCCGTTCTCTAACTGTTTAAAAACTGTATATCATGTCATTAGTGCTTGGCTAATGAGTATCATCAGCCCGGAGCTTATAATTATTGCAAATGAAAATTTATCGCATATCCTCTTCTGAGAAAAAAGTGGCATAAACATATTATCTGAAATATTACAAGTTATTAGATATTTGTAAAAGTTAATATTCATTTAAATGCGACAAATATCACAAAGATCTTTTTTAAGCAATCTGATTACTGCTTATAAGACTTGGAAAAAATGTAAGACTGAACTTTTCGGGCATTAAAATGATGACATATAACCATGAGGTCTTCTCGGATATTTAGGACGCACTGCATGAATAAAAACAATGCATATTACACCAATATTTTCTTTTTAAAGAAACTTTTAAAAAATTTAACAGCGCTGAAATTTAACACAGCATAGGATATTTTATTTAACTCTCGTCATGACCGTCACAGAGTGAATATCAGATATGTCAAATGAGTTTTAGGCTATTCAAAAAGGGAGCCGTTTTCAAGTTTAACAAGTTTAATGTCAGAAACCTCATCCTCAACAATTTCAGTTCTTTCAAATGATTCACAATCTAACAGCCTGTGATCTATATGGGTTAATCAAGCCATTGCGTGGTGACGACGGGATGATTAATTTAAGAATGATATAAAAATGTCATTTTTTTACAACCATATGTTGGTGATGAAGCTTACAAAAATCACTCGCGTAATTGTACATTCACAGTTGTTGTTGCATAAAAAAGGCTTTTACTTAATTAATTATGCTATACAAGCTGAGCTTTCAATATTTTTTTACTTCAGGCAGGTGGAAAGTGTTAGAGTGAAGCCCCTTCCAGGGAAAAGCGGCGACTATTTTGCTGAGCTGGTCCTGTTTTCTGTCGTCTTTTTCTCCGCGTCAACTAAGTCAACACCTCTTTTAATACTTAATCAACTATAATATACAATCAGCGTTATTACTCTACTTTAAGCTGCTCAAATCATTGTAATCGAAGGTGTTGGAGTAAATGAACCTTCTCGACCAAAGCCCAAATTAGTTTTGCTGAATTGCTTTTATGTTCTGTCGTCTTTTTCTCCGGAATTTGTTCAATGCGTCTTTGAAAATTTGCATTCTGAAACTGTAGACGAGAGGATTCACCATAGAATTTGCCAGATATAAAGCTTCCACGAGCCAAATAACCACTGGTGCAGAAAAGCATCCAGAACAGAATCCTATCGTTGAGAAGACAAGATAAGCAGGCATCCAAAACACAAGCGATGAAGCAATTGCAATATAAAGTGTTTTTGAAAGCCGTAAATTGTGCTCCCTTGATCGATGCTTATGATTGTCTATCTCGGCGGGTGAGGGTGCGCGCAATCGAGCTCGTATGCTAAGGTAACTTGTACAAATTATCAAGATGGAAATAAGAAGCGATGTCCTACCAGTGACAAAAACATATACTCCATTTATTTCTGGATAATAAAGGGATAACATAAAAAGAACAAAAAAGACAAGAGCGATGGCCCAAACGATAACGATGCTATAGATGTAGACTTGACGATTTGTGATGCGATGACGGATTGGCCGTAAGACGGCGAAAGCACGTTCCAAGGAGACAAGCGCTAGAAAGTAGACGGACGTACTCGAAAAGAAAAGTGTAAAAGCCGCTAAGAAGTTTGATCGGTTCAGCAGTAAAATGCCCTTGCCTAGATCATGAGATTTTACAGTTGCTATGACTGTAAGTTCTGAAATCCCCACAAGTAAATCGGCGACTGCGAGGTTAATCAAAAGAAGATAAGTTCGTTTTAGGCGGGATCTCTGAGTCCAGAATACAAAGATTGTGAACGTGTTTCCTGCGATGATAATGATTGCTTGCACTGAGTAGATGACCACGAGGCTGATGTATGTTGAAGTAGCCATGTCCTTTTGGCGCTAGCGCCCTCTGTTATCCGGGTTACCGATGTCAATGTCTTTAAACGTCAACTAAAAATCCATCTCTTCAAGAAAGCCTAACCTTTCAAAGTTGTTTACCTTATTTCATTAATTTTTAATGTTAGAATTTTAGTTACCTAATGGTGCGGCGTCGTCATTTCTAGAGTATTTATTGTAAACAGATTTTGTTAATAGATTTTTGTAGCATGATTTGTAAATAGATTTCGTATGAAGCGTTATGAGCAGTTAGTGATAAATGAACTCATTATTATTATTATCCAAATTAAAAATGCGAAACAGCTTCCACACAGTTGAAAGGTATGTTGAAGGTATCGAAAAAATAGTCTTGTTGTTATTATTTCTCTGTCGAAAATACCTTTCAGTGTTCCGACCAGCAGGGAAATATCACAAAAATACAAGTCTCGTTTATCTCTAGCGAAGTTTGATATCAGCTTCAATTAATAATGCTGTATAGAGGACATTTCATTGTTCTGAGTTCTCAACTCAATGAATTAATAGTATAGTAATTTATGGAGGATATGAAGTCCTTTCACATGTGCCCTTCGGGTATTTTGACGAAACTTTTCAATAGCAGGTGTAAGCAAATACGATTATTTGCGTCTTAGTCTTAATAACATAGTACAGCTCTTATTTATTATTTTGGACGTAGATTCAAGGGTTTTTTATTTGTCGTTAATGAAGCCCATATCCTGATAAACAAAATAGCCTCGAACTCTAGTAGATTCATCATATTCTATTGATATCCTTTCAGTGATAATTTTAATTAACACTGAATATTTTTAGCTATTGATAATCAAAAGGGAATCCATTAGGTAATTGAACGAAATCTTACTCATGAAAAGGGAATTAAGTCTCAATGGTTGGAGGCTGAAGAATTCAGGAAGGCGGCAAATAAAAACGATGTGAAAGCCTTTTAAAATGGCTTGAGAGAAGTATATCGGCTACAGAAGAGGGGTACAACGCAGCGTACTGTCCTTGATGGTGAGACAGAAATACAGGAGAAAGCTGAGACTCTCGATAGCAAACCAATTTAACCAGCTACTTAATGACAGGAGAAGTTGACAACTCTACCTTGGAAACCATTGCACAGAGGCCAAACATTACACTTGTTGATGAAAATCCTGAATTTAAGTAGCTGTTGGATGGCATCAATGCAAGAAACGAAGGTACAGCCCTTGGAAGGTGTTGTATACCTGCCGAAATCTGGAAACATTGTGGCTGTGAAAATCGCTTCTAGTCTGTACAAACTGAGTTTGCAGATCTGGGAAACTGAAGAAATACCAAAAGACTGGAAAGATGGCATTATCGTGCCAGTCTTCAAGAAGGGAAGAAGAAAGGACTGTGGGAACTATCGAGGTGTTTCTCTTCTCTCAATAGCCGAAAAGATTTTGACTCGCATACTCCTCAACAGACTGAACGAACACATTGTCCCCATATCGTGCCTGAGACTCGATGTGGTATTCGCAGTGCATGGTAGAGGCACTGTGGATATGATCGATCCTCTGTTTGCGACAGTTATAAGAGAAGTGTGAAGAGCATAATATGCCGCTGTATGCCGTTTTTATTGACTTCTCTGAGGCTTTTGATACAGTGTTCGGAAAGTATTGATGTACTGCTGAATTTATCAATCTGGCGAGGGCACTGCACAACGCAATGTTAACATGTTAACATGTGGATCAATGAAGCTACATCTCCAAGGTATTTGCTGTCACCGATTTTGTCAAGCAAGGTTGCGTGCTTGCTCCGATACTGTTCTCTCTCTACCTAACAGCAATGCTAAAGGCGGCCTTTGACGGTGTTGCATGGGGATGGTATACTTCATCCAAACTCGTACTAATGCTGACCTGTTTAACGTACCCCTTTTCAAAGCAAAAACACGCACAACCTAGATCCTAGGGAGGGAAATTATGTTTACAGATGATAGTGCTGTAATTGCCCACAGTTCTGATGACATTCTGAGTCTGGTGGACAGCTTCACCAGAGCTGCCTCCCAATTTGGCCTAAGTTGAACATTAAGAAAACTGAGTGCTTATACCACCACCGTGGTCAAACGTCTAAATCGTTATTTTTGTTTTTTATTGCTGGGATTTCATTTACCAGTTAGAGAAAAATGGGGAAACATGTATAAATCAGTTAGTCAACATAACTATCTTTCCATGTTTCTCAAAATTTTGAGCTTTTTTCGCTGAAAACGCTTCGCGCTAAAAGAGAATCATGTTTAAAAATGGCGCCGATAATAACGTCAGCATCGGTTTTCAATCACTTAGAACTTTTTTAGTAAATTTTTAAAACGTTTAGTAAACTAACAGGATGTTGGTAATACCCTAAACTTTCGATAGTGAAAGTAGCAACCTTAACTTTGAAGTATTTCGCTTAACTTTTGCAAATTTCACTCGTTTGATCGCTGTGAAGCTAATACCAACCGCTGCAAAACCCAGTTTCTGAGCTAACAACTATAACTATCAATCAAGAGGCCCTGATGCAGTGTTACGACTTCAAATACCTAGGAAGCACTATTTCCAACAATGCTAGCCAAGACATTGAACTCAGATACAGGATGGCAATTGCAAGTGCTACTTTTGGAAAACAACAGGACAGGTTTGGAAAAACCGGCATGTGTCTATTGAAGTCAAGTGCAATGTCTATCAAGGTGTTGTCCTTTCTTCCCTCCTCTGTGGTGCTGAAACATGCATGGACTATACATCAGCGTAAGTGAAGAAGCTCGTGCCTAGTCCCTAGGCCTCATTATTCCGCCCGGCCAAAGCGTTTCGAGTCACGTGGTCCAAGCGAAAATGTGTTTCGCGCCCGTTCGCCTCGGATACGTCATCGAAGTGAATTGACCGAGAGGGCCTGGGAAAACGCCGTACAGGGACTATCTCCATGCCTGTATGGTGGAACATCTAAAAGTAATCATGAACGTATCCTGGAAGGACGAGATCACGAATGTGGAAAGTCTCTGCCTTGCAGGATTACTATCAATGGCTGATATTCTCATTGAGAAAAATCTAAGACGGATGGGACACGTGCATAGGATGGATAATAACAGACTACCAAAGTATCTGTTAGTTGCTACCAAGTGTGCAGCTATTAACTCTGTTTGGTAATGGATAATCAAGAGGGGCCTAGATTAAGGTTCGCAGATGTTGCAATTGGTCATGAAGAAAATGGAGAGACATCAATCTCAACCGATGGCGGGAGAGTGCCAACGACATACCTATCTGGATTAGACTTATCAAACTTTCCTGAAACCTAGAACAGTTTTAGTCGAACCGACTGACTGCCATGTTGATGATATTCTTGGCCGTTCCAACCATCTCTAATTATTTCAGGATTCATGAATGAGGCACCATATCACTAGAAGGATTACTAACCAAAGATGAGAGACCCTTATACCCTAATTAAGGTGGTCGTTACCGCGCCAGAAACCATGCTGGTGTCTTCTGGTAGAGAGTGACCTATGTCACTTTCTAGCATTACCTCAGATTTGAAGGCTCCCACCACTGTTAGTTCTGTGATCCCTACAAGCAAAGCTGCAATTGTGAGGTTGATCAAAAGAAAATAACTTCGTTTTATGTGGGATCTTTGATTCCAGAATACGAAAATTGTAGACGTGTTTGCATGTTTGCGCGTAGATGACCACGAAGGAAATGGACGTCGATGAAGGCATGTCTTTCCTCGCTCAGCAACCAGTTGCTTCGCCCTTTATTCGGAACAACTCGCGCACAGTTGAAAAGGCCAGTACATTGTACTTACCAATCACAAGAAAATATTGTTCTTATATCATTTCTTTGTATAAAATACCTTGTTTTCTTGTAGACCAAATAATACTTCTACATGAAGGCAGTAAGGACGGCCCGCTAATCTTTGTATGACTCAGTTCAAGGTTCAGAATTAGTATTGTTGAGACAAATCAAGTCGAAGATACTTTGATGCTTAGCTGAGTTATTAACGAACTGACTAAATTAACATGCAATTAACATATTTGGCGGTAATAATGAACGGACGAACGCCAGTCTGCCTTCAGTACTCCGCTAAGCTTTTTATACGACATTTCCTTAGCAGCAGTGTAAACGAAGACGCTTATTTATTTGCATCTAACGTGATAGCAGAATTCTTCGGGGTGATTACTGGGTATTATGTCTTTTTCAATTTGCGAACACGCAACCGGTTGGCAATGAAAAACCAATTATATACAAGAAAATTCAAAATGAAAATGGCATGTCATAAAAAAATGTGTCTTAAGTTTCCTTTTGTGCACATAATCGATTTATTCTGCTGATGTTCTTTCAGAGGTAATTATACATATTTCGTTCTATATAAAATTGTCATTTTTAGTGTTCATATTTTTATTAAAATTTAAGGGAGAGGAAGAGAGAAATTTAAGACATTTTTATGATTGTCGGGAGGGAAAACTCAGAGGACTCATCTCATCAAAGTTATTTCAAGAAATCCAAAATGTCAGTTGTGCATGTCACTGCAACACTTAGAACAGTGCTATAAATCGGTTGTATTTATCTGCCTCCTTTCAAATTACTTATTTACAAAGCCCATGCCAAATGCTGAGGTATCAACTTTTTATTAAAGCTTAAGGCATTATTAGTAGTCTATTAGTATTGCGTTATGTTTTGCTAACGCAGTTGATTAAATAACTAGCCCAAAACGTTCTACATTCATTTTATAACACGACAAAAAATTAGTTAAAGTAAAACATGTTGACCATTTCATTTGTTTGCCTCAAGTTTAACAAAGATTCAATTCCAGTCTAGATTTAGCAGCATTTTTTTTTTCCTATTTGCCTCCCTCATTTTCTATTTATCAATTTTGGCCTTTTAATTTGTGGCGTATAGTGCTTTTTTGACTTAAACCAAATTACTGCAATACAGCATGATTTGTAAAGCTCTCCCACTCCAGTAACTCACTTTGCCTACTGGAAGAAAAGATCTGCCAGCGGAAATATAATTTCTTTGTACGAATTAGTAGAGCTCAATAAGCCTCAATTCAAGTCTGTTATTCATTCTTCGTCAGAATGAACATCCCTTCATAATCTTAGACTACAGAGGAGTAAGGCAATGAAATGGATCCGACGTTGAGTAAGATTGTTCGTACACGGTTTTTGCAGTGGTTTTTTTTACCTTAACTAACATGGAAATTGTATATAGTTGGTATACGTACATAGATGGAGTTAGGCATGTTTTGTTGAAGTCGGAAATATAGCAGATCTTCTTATCATACGAGAGTCAAACCAATAATTGCTAATGGATGGGTCGTTTGAGTTGTCCACGAAGAAGCAGTATTGAGGATAAAATGCCGATTTATATCTGCCCCTGAGGGCTAAGCCAGTTTCACAACGTCTTATTCGGATCTAAAGCAAAGACTGTATATTTCGGCTGTCCTTTCTTTGGACATAGCGGGTTATCTATTACTGGTATATAAAAGAGAGACGAGTGATTCAAGAACGAATAGTAGATATGAAATTAAAGTACGACTAGAGAACTTTAAAACGAAATATGAACTTGATTTCTGTGTCGTAAGATTTTTTTTGGCTCATTAAAAATCTACCCATGGAAAGATGAAATATTTTTTTAAGTTTTACGGGGATCTCTGTGTTTTTATAAACGCATTTTGGGTTTATTCATCCGTCGTTTATAACTGTTTGAAGTTCTTAGCTAATGAGTACCATCAGGCCGGGCGTTTATACCTGCAAATGAAGATTTATCGCATCCTTTTCTGAGAAAAAATGGATTAAATATTATCTGAAATATTACTAGTAAGTAGTGAAACCAAAAAGATAATATTCATTCTAATGCACAAACATCGCAAAGATCGTTTTTGAAGTAATCCGATTACTGACAGCGTGAAGATAGTGATGTTGGGACGTAGAATTAGAGAAAAAATATTCTTCAAAACCAACAATTTGTTGAAAGTTTAGTAGAAGAAAATGGAACAATTTTGCAGCCTCATCAAAACTGGGTTGCGAATAACAGCAAACGTCATCACTGATGAAGGGGATCCGGATGATTTCTGAAAGCTCTGCTAAACTTTCAACAAATTGCTGGTGCTGAAGAATATTTTTTCTGTAATTGATTACTGTTTGAACTTAGGAAAAATGTAACCTATTTCTTTTTATTAAGGACTCAAGCCGACTTATAGCAATAATTTCTTGAATAAGGTAACAGCGCTGAAATTTAACAGCATAGGACATTATCTTTATATCGCGTCATGAAGCTGGCTCTAAGTTCCTTTCAAGCTATGTGCTTCAGTTCTAGACTCAATGCCAAGTCGTTTAGTTGATACTTACGTTTTCCAGAAGGTTTTAGAACTAATATTCCTTATTTTATCACGTTTAAGGCTATTCAAAAAAGAGTATTTACAAAACAAATTGAATGTCAGAAACCGTATCTTCTTCAACTGTAACCCTTCAAATGATTCACAATATGAAAACCTGTGATTCAAATGCAACCTTCAAGCCACCAAGTGGTTACAACAGGTGATTAGGGATAAACGAATCATATATTACATAACTATTATTTCTGAACCATGTTGTTGGTGGTTGAGCACACGAAAATCACTCGCGTATAATTATGTATTTTACCAGAGAGATTTACGTATTTAGTGAAACTCATTCGAAAGGTTTTGCTTTACAAATAATGACCTCGTCAACACGGCTTTTACTTATTAATAGTGCAGACAACGTTACAACTGTGTTTTTGGCAAGTAAAATCATTGTCGTCGAAAGTGTTGAGTAAACGAACCTTCCAGACGAAAGCCCAGACTATTTTGCCCAACTGGTCTTACGTTCTGTCGTCTTTTTCTCCGGAATTTATTTAAAGCGTCCTTGAAAATTTGCATTCTGAAACTGTAGACGAGAGGGTTCACCATAGAATTTGCCATATACATGGCATCCACGAGCCAAAAAACCTGTGGTGTAGAAAAACAGCTAGGACAGAATCCTCTCGTTGAGTAGACGACAAAACCAGGCATCCAAAACACAAGCGATGAAGCAATTGTGATATAAAGTGTTTTTGCAAGCCGCAAATTGTGCTCCCTTGATCCCTGCTTATGATTGTCTACCGTGGCCGATGATGTTGCGCGCAATCGAGTACGTATGCTAAGGTAACTTCCACAAATTATCAAGATGGAAATAAGAAGGCATATCCTACTCGCGAGAAAAACGTATTCCTCCTCTGCTGCTGACAAATGGAAGGATAATACGATAAAACCAAAGAAAACAAGACCGACGACCCAAACAATAACGATGCTATAGATGTAAACCCGACTGTTTGTAATGCGATGACGGATTGGCCACAAGACGGCGAATGCTCGTTCCAAGGAGACAAGGGCGAGAAAATAAACGGACGAATTCGAAAAAAGCATAAAAAATGCCGCTGAGAGATTTGATCGGCTCTGCCATAATACACCGCCTGCGTAACCCTGCCCAGTATCTTGAAATTTCACCGTTCCTATGACAATAAGTTCTGTAAACCCCACAAGAAAATCAGCGACTGCGAGGTTGACCAGAAGGAAATAAGTACGCGTTAGGCGGGATCTCTGGGTCCAAAAGACGAAGATAGTGAACGCGTTTCCAACGATAATAATGATTCCTTGTACTGTGTAGATGACCACGAGGGTAATGTACGTTGAAGTAGGCATGTCCCTGCTCGTTCTCTTGCCAATTTATCCCAGCAGTCGCGAAACAGCTCTTACATGCACAGTTGAAAAGATATGATGAACTCAGCATATAAATGTTGTTTATGTATTATTTCTATGTAGACTAGACTAGTAAGGAAATCATGGAAATACAGGTGCCGCTGATCTTTAGTTCGATAAGCTTCCAATAGCTGCGTTGTGTCGAGGATATTCGATTAATGTGAGATGTCGCACCTGAATCAATAGTCCATTACCGAGTTCACCCGGGCCTCTGTATCAAAACGAGGTTAAGTGCTCAGCCTTTGATATGGAAATGATTTTTCATCCTCATGCAAATAAAACTCATTTCCACAAGAAAGGTTGTGCACTTGGCCTCATTTTGAAAGTCAGGATTTTTGGAACTCGGAATTAAAGGTGGATATAACTTCCTTTCACATATGCCCCAAGGTTTTGGAAGAATTTAAATTCTTAACAGCAGGTGTAAGTAAACACGATTTTTTGCGTCTTATGCGATAATAACATACTACAGCTTTGATTCACTGGGGTATGAAGTCGGTGTCCTGAAGAACAGAATAACCTTTCCCTCTGTGTTTTAAGATTTCTTTGGCAAATCAAAATTTCGTCAATGCAAAGATTGAATTATATTAGTGCATAGGCCAGGACCCAAAAATGAGAGAGTAGGTACCACTTGGGAGGACAAAGGCTTATATGCCTGGATCATTGATTCCGTGTCTAAAGTTTATATCAAAGTGTGATAGCAAGGTGACTCACAGGCTTTTAAGGTATGAAGGGTGTGCTAACAACCTGTTCAATCCCCTTTTATGCTTGATCTTAAACGATTTCTAGTAAAAGGAGATCACGAAAAAAAAATTCAAAAAGCTTTGAGAAAATGCCAGGGGAAAGCGTCCGTGGATGAAGTCCTTTCACTGTACATTGTGATGATTCTTGGAAATCACAAAATGAACGATCACGTGTTTATTCAGATGACAAGCAAAGACAAAATCTCCTTTCATTTCTGCCCGGTTGAGTTTCTCACTATGATAGCAATTACTTTCTGGCTGCAGGAAGACTAAAAAACAGAGGCGGATGTTTCAACCTAAGGTGGTTTTTCTGGCATGTTTCTCTAGTATTTTCTTTTTATTTAGTCACTTGAGCAATCGGATTTTCTTAGCTTAATTCAAAGGCATTATTGACCGCGTCAAGTCAACACAGCTTTTAATATTTGATCAATTATAATATACATTCAGGGTTAATACTCTACTTTAGGCAGGTAAAATCTTCCGAATCGAAAGTGTTGGAGTACAAGAACCTTCCAGACCAAAGCCCAAATTATATTGCTGAACTGGTCTTATGTTTTTCGTCTTTTTCTCCGGGATCGCGTCTTTCAAAATTTGCATTCTGAAACTGTACACGAGAGGATTCACCATAGAAGTTACCAGATACATGGCATCCACGAGCCAAAACACAAGTGGTGTAAAGCATCGCTGACAAAATTCTCTCGTTGAGTAGACAACAAAAGCAGGCATCCAAAACGCAAGCGATGAAGCAATTGCTATAAAAACTGTTTTTGAAAATCGTAAATTGTGCTCCCTTGATCGATGCCTATGATTGTCTAGCTCCGCGCGTGGTGGTGTTCGCAATCGAGTGCGTATGGTTAGGTAACTTACACAGATTATCAAAAAGGAAATAAGAAGGAATTTCCTAAAAGTGAGGAAAACATATTCCCCCACAAAATCTGAATAATGGAAGGATAATAAGGTGAAACCAAAGAAAGCAAGGCCGACAGCCCAAACAATATCGATGCTACAGTTGTAAACTCGACTGTTTGTGATGCGATGACGGATTGGCCGTAAGACAGCGAAAGCACGTTCCATGGAGATAAGCGCAAGAAAATAAACGGACGTACCCGAAAAGAGAAGTATAAAAGCCGCTATCGGGTTTGCTCGGCTCCGCACCAAAAAACCGTAACCCTCCCCTCCATTATGAGATTTAGCAGTTCCAATGATTATAAATTCCGTAATCCCCCAAGTAAATCGGCGACTGCGAGGTTGATCAAAAGAAAATAAGTTCGTTTTAGGCGAGATCTCTCGGTCCAGAAAACAAAGATCGTGAATGCGTTTCCGAAGACGATAAGGACTGCTTCCAGAGTGTAGATTATTAGCAGGGTAATGTACGTCGGAGTAGGCATATCTTTAATTTGCTTTTTCTGTTTTTCATTCAAATATGTCCTGTCCTAAAAAAAAAAGGAACCAGCTATCGCACAGTTGAGAAGATATGATGCACTTAGCATAAAATGGCCTTCTTGTATTGTTTCTCCGTCAAAATGCTTTTTGACCTTTTGTTTAGACCAAACAGAGATATTGCTATATGAAAGTGGAATTTCCGTTGATTTTTAGAAATTAAGGCCAGCTAACAGGGGCACCCATGGCCAAAGGCCAACGACTGTTTTCTGTAAAATATTTGTTCAGAGAAGTAAATGTTGCCTAGAAATTTCTATTGCTTGAGGACGGCTACAAATGTCTAGATGAAATGAATGTTCCATTGTTTTACAATTTTCGAAACTTATCTAATAAATTACCTGCGATTTTCTGAAGCTTAATTTTCCACATTTCACTCCCCAAATAATGTTTATGGGAGACTTAAAATCTTCGGATTCAAAAATGTGATTGAGATAGGAATCAGAAAAATTCTCACATTCGTAAAACGATAAATTGCATCTAAAATTTTCGGGAAAATAATTCTGAAGCCCTTGTAATTTCGAAAAGACTCAAGTTCCCCGAGGATGACCGAACAGATAGGTGACAATTTTATAGCGCAGCTTACTATAGAATTTATCAATAGGAATCTAAAAGTACTCTGTGTAGCCTAAAAAGTGCTTTCAGCGTATTAGTAAAGTCTTCGTTGGGTGCCCCTGAGATAAGCTCAATAATGTAGTGTTGTGTCGAGGACACTTGTGCGACTAAATGAGTATATTGAGTATAGATCGTTTTCACTGTCACGCAACAAAAAATTAAATTAGAAACCCTCCGGTGGAAGAAGCTAAGAAAATGAAGTGTTATAAAAGACTTAATATATAAACAATTTGTCCAAGTCTCAGGTCTTTGTGGCTCATAGTTTCTGAGTTATTTGCCGAAACTTTTCACGCACCTTTGTAGAGCTTTGTATGGAGACGACATATTGGTGTACCGTTTTGGTGCACCAATATGGCCGCCAGAAATCAACAAAAACATCTGGAGTTCACGTTTTCTTTAAAAGCTCTTTCTTTTCAGTCGAGAACTAGCATACGTACGCATAAACATATCTTCTAATACTTGAACTGCTGAAAATCAAGAGGAGAGACTTTTTTTCAACGAGACAGCATTCTTATTTTGGTGTCACGCACTGTGAAAACTCGGAAGTTCAAATTGCTGTATTTTAGAAATGAAACATGTTACGGAAAAGGAAACTTGTATAAAGATTTACTTTTTGTTTATCTTCAACTTAGTGTAAATAAGAAGGGCTTTTCGCCTCAAGCAAATCGATCCCCATCATGGGTGACTTCAACACGAACCTACTCGGTGTCGAGAAATGCAATCAGTATGCGCGTAATTTTCTACTTTCATTACAAAGCTTTTCTTTATTTCGACAATTGATAAAACCAACCCGTTTCCATAATAATTCAGCTACGTTAATTATATATATTGAAATTATCCTATTAAACGGATTTGATTATAACATCACCAGTGGGAATATTGATTCCGATGTTAGCGATCATTATTCACCATTCTGCTGGATTCTCCACTCTCGGGAGAGAAGCACAAATCTATAACCGAAAACAAAAAAAACGTGATTTCTCTACAGGGGCGGATCCAAGAATTCTTGAATTTTTTGTTTTTTTGTTTTTTTTTTTATTTTGTTTATTCATGTAATTAATTAATTTTTTTTTTTTTTTTTTTTTTTTTTTTTTTTTTGGGGGGATCCAAATTTTGGTTTAAAAAGGACCGTTGAACTTATTTGTTTGTCAATCTGTGAACGCCGGTCGCCGTTGGCGCGGGAGCCTGCTTTGCGAGCAGAGGCGAACAGATCATAGGAGGCTACCCAAAAACAAGTACATTTTTGAGAATCCCTAAAATTTAGTTTGGTGAAAAAATGCAACACACCTTTCATTAAAAAAAAATCAGCCAGTTAAAAAGTGATATTTTTGATGAAAATGCTGAAAGGAAGGAACTGTTCGATGCCATCAATGCAACAAAGGAAGGTAAAGCCCTTGGAAGGTGTGGTATACCTGCCGAGATCTGGAAATATTGTGGCTGTGAAACTCGCCTCTAGCCTGTACAAACTGAGTTTGCAGATCAGGGAAACTCAAGATATACCAAAAGACTGGAAAGATGGCATTTTCGTGCCAGTCTTCAAGAAGGGAAGAAGAAAGGACTGTGGGAACTATCGAGGTATTTCTCTTCTCTCAACAGCGGAAGAGATCTTGGCTCGCATACTCCTCAACAGATTGAACGAACGCATTGTTCCCCATATCGTGCCTGAGACTCGATGTGGTATTCGCAGTGGTAGAGGCACTGTGGATATGATCGATCCTCTGTTTGCGACAGTTATAAGAGAAGTGTGAAGAGCATAACATGCCGCTGTATGCCGTTTTTATCGACTTCTCTAAGGATTTTGATACAGTGTTGGGAAAGTATTGATGTACTGCTGAATTTATCAATCTGACGAGGGCACTGCACAACGTAATGCAAGCACATGTGGATCAAGGAAGCTAGGTCTCCAAGGTATTTGCTGTCACCGATTTTGTCAAGCAAGGTTGCGTGCTTGCTCCGACACTGTTCTCTCTCTACCTAACAGCAATGCTAAAGTACGTAGCCTTTGACGGTGTTGGGGACGGTGTCTTCATCCAAACTTGTACTAATGCTGATCTGTTTAATGTACCCCTTTTCAAAGCAAAAAAACACGCACAACCTAGATCCTAGGGAGGGAAATACTGTTTGTAGATGATAGTGCTGTAGTTGCCCACAGTGCTGGTGACATTCAGAGTCTGGTGGACAGCTTCACCAAAGCTGCCTCCCAATTTGGCCTAAGTTCAACATCAAGAAAACTGAGTGCTTATACCAACCGCTGCAAAACCTAGATCCAGTTCCTGAGCCAACAACTATAACTATCAATCAAGAGGCCCTAATGCAGTGATACGACTGTGATAGGAAGCACTATTTCCAACAATGCTAGCCAAGACAGTGAACTAATAAGATATAGGATGGCAATTGCAAGTGCTGCTTTTGGAAAACCACAGGACAGGTTTTGAAAAAACCGGCATGTGTCTATTGAAGTCAAGTACAATGTCTATCAAGGTGTTGTCCTTTCTTCCCTCCTCTGTGATGCTGAAAACATGCATGGACTATACAGCGTAAGTGAAGAAGCTCTTGCCAAGTCCCTAGGCCTCATTATTCCGCCCAGCCAAAGCGTTTCGAGTCAAGTGGTCCAATCGAAAATGTGTTTCGCGCCCGTTCACCTCGGATACGTCACCGAAGTGAATTGACCGAGAGCGCCTGGGAAAACGCCGTACAAGGACTAGTTCCTCGCCTATATATGATGAAACAACTAAAAGTAATAATGAACGAATGTGGAGCGTCTCTGCCTTGCAGGACTACTATCAATGGCTGATATTCTCATTGAGAAAAATCTAAGACGACTGGGTCACGTGCATAGGATGGATAATAACAGACTGCCAAAGAAGCTGTTAGCTGCTACAAAATATGCAGCTGTCAACTCTGTTTGGTAATGCGTAATCAAGGGAGGCCTAGATTAAGGTTCAAAGATATTGCAGTTGAAGAGAAACATGAAATGGAGAGAGTGACATCAATCTCAACCGATGGCGGGAGAGTGCCAACGACATACCTATCTGGAGGAGACTTATCAAACTTTGCTGAAACCTAGAACAGTCTTAGTCGAACCGACTGACTGCCATGATAATGATATTCATGGCCATTCCAACCATCTCTAAGCATTTCAGAATCCACGAATGGGGCACCATATCACTAAACGGATTTCCAGCCAAAGATCAGAGACCCTTATACCCTCATCAAGCTGGTCGTTACCGCGCTAGAAACCACGCTGGTGTCTTCTGGTGGAGAGTGACCTATGTCACTTTCTAGCATTACCTCAGATTTGAAGGCTCCCACCACTGTTAGTTCTGTGATCCCTACAAGCAAAGCTGCAATTGTGAGGTTGATCAAAAGAAAATAAGTTCGTTTTATGCAGGATCTTTTATTCCAGAATACGACAATTGTAAACGTGTTTACATGTTTGCGCGTAGATGACCACGAAGGAAATGGACGTGGATGAAGGCATGTCTTTCCTCGTTCAGCAGCCAGTTGCTTCGCCCTTTATTCGGAACAACTGGCGCACGGTTGAAAAGGCCAGTACATTGTACTTACCAATCACAAGAAAATATCGTTCTTATATCATTTCTCTGTATAAAATACCCTGTTTTCTTGTACACCAAATAAATATATTTCTACATGAAGGCAGTAAGGACGGCCCGCTAATCTTTGTAAAACTCAGTTCAAGGTTCAGAATTAGTATTGTTGAGACGAATCAAGTCGAAGATACTTGATACTTAGCTGAGTTATTAACGAATTGACTAAATTAACATGCAATTAACATATGTGGCGATAATACTGATGGTAGACTGGCGTTCGTCCGTTCATTACTCCCCTAAGCTTTTTTTTCGACATTTCCTTAGCAGCAGTACTAGTGTAAAAGGAGACGCTTATTTATTTGCATCTAATGTGATAGCAGAATTCTTCGGGTTGATTACTGGGCATTATGTCATTTTCAATTTGCGAACACGAAAACGGTTGGCAATGGAAAAGCAATTATATACAAGAAAATTCAAAATGAAATTGGCATGTCATAAAAAAATATATGTTTTAAGTTTCCTTTTGTGCATATAATCGATTTATTCTGCTGATGTTCTTTAAGAGGTAATTATACATATTTCGTTCTATATAAACTTGTCATTTTTGTGTCCATATTCTTATTAAAATTTAAGGGAGAGGAAGAGAGAAATTTAAGACATTTTTATGATTTTCGGGAGGGAAAACTCCTGGGACTCATCTCATCAAAGTTGTTTCAAGAAATCCAAAATGTGGTTGTCACTGCAACACTTACAACAGTGCTATAAATTGTTTTATTTATCTGCCTCCTTTCAAATTACTTATTTACAAAGCCCATGCCAAATGCTGAGGTATCAACTTTTTATTAAAGCTTAAGGCATTATTAGTATTGCGTTATGTTTTGCTAACGCAGTTGATTAAATAACTAGCCCAAAACGTTCTATATTCATTTTATAACACGGCAAAAAATTAGTTAAAGTAAAACATGTTGACCATTTGAAATGTTTGCCTCAAGTTTAACAAAGATTCAATTCCAGTCTAGATTTAGCAGCATTTTTTTTTTCTCATTTGCCTCCCTCATTTTCTATTTATCAATTTTGGCCTTTAATTTGTGGCGTATTAGTGCTTTTTTGACTTAAACCAAATTACTGCAATACAGCATGATTTGTAAAGCTCTCCCACTCCAGTAACTCACTTTGTCTACTGGAAAAAAAGATCTGCCAGCGGAAATATAATTTCTTTGTAGAAAATAATTAAGATAAAATTTCCGTTCATACGAATTAGTAGAGCTCAATAAGCTTCAATTCAAGTACTGTTATTCATTCTTCGTCAGAATGAACATTCCTTCAAGTTCATAATCTTAGACTACAGAGGAGTAAGGTAATGAAGATGGATCCGACTTTGAGCAAGATTATTCGTACACGGTTTTTGCAGTGGTTTTTTTACCTTAACTAAACATGGAATTTGTATATAGTTGGTATACGTACATAGATGGAGTTAGGCATGTTTTGTTGAAGTCGGAAATATAGCAGATCGAATACGATGACCCCCTTCTCAATCTGCCTAATTCTTCTTATCATACGAGAGCCAAACCAATAATTGCTAATGGATGAGTCGTTTGAGTTGTCCACGAAGAAGCAGTATTGATGATAAAACGCCGATTTATATCTGCCCCTGAGGGCAAAGCCGGTTTCACAACGTCTTATTCGCATCTAAAGCAAAGACTGTATATTTCGGCTGTCCTTTCTTTGGACATAGAGTGTTATCTATTACTGGTATATAAAAGAGAGACGAGTGATTCAAGAACGAATAGTAGATATGAAATTAAAGTACGACTGGAGAACTTTAATTTCTGTGCCGTAAGATTTTTTTGGCTCATTAAAACTGGGCTGTGAAAAACAGCAAACGTCATCACTGATGAAGGGGATCCGGATGATTTCTGAAAGCTCTGCTAAACTTTCAACAAATTGTTGGTGCTGAAGAATATTTTTTTTTCTGTAATTGATTACTGTTTGAACTTAGGAAAAATGTAACCTATTTCTTTTTATTAAGGACTCAAGCCGACTTATAGCAATAATTTCTTGAATAAGGTAACAGCGCTAAAATTTAACAGCATAGGATATTATCTTTATCTCGCGTCATGAAGCTGGCTCTAAGTTCCTTTCAAGCTATGTGCTTTCGTTATAGACTCAATGCGAAGTCGTTTAGTTGATAGTTACGCTTTCCAGTAAGTTTTAGAACTAATATTCCTTAATTTTCTTGACACAAACAAACAAACCTACATACAGCTGACATATTTATTAAGTTTGGGGCTATTCAAAAAAAAAGTATTTTACAAAACAAATTGAATGTCAGAACCGTATCTTCTCCAGCTTTAATCCTTCAAATGATTCACGATCTGAAAGCCTGTGATTCAAATGCAACCTTCAAGCCACCAAGTGGTTACAACAGGTGATTAGGGATGAACGAATCTCATATTATATAAGTATTATTTTTGAACCATGTTGTTGGTGGAGCACTCGATAGTCACTCGCGTTTGATTATGTATTTTACCAGAGAGATTTTCGCATTTAGCGAAACTCTTTCAAAAGGTTTCGCTTTACAAATAATGATCTCGTCACCACGGCTTTTACTTAACTGTAATGTACAGACAGCGTTATAACTCTGTTTTTGGCAGGTAAAATCATTGTCGTCGAAAGTGTTGAGTAAACGAACCTTCCAGACGAAAGCACAAACTATTTTGCCCAACTGGTCTTACGTTCTGTCGTCTTTTTCCCCGGAATTTGTTTAAAGCGTCTTTGAAAATTTGCATTCTGAAACTGTAGACGAGAGGGTTCACCATAGAATTTGCCATATACATGGCATCCACGAGCCAAAAAACCTGTGATGCAGAAAAGCATTCAGGACAGAATCCTCTCGTTGAGTAGACGACAAAACCAGGCATCCAAAACACAAGCGATGAAGCAATTGTGATATAAAGTGTTCTTGCAAGCCGTAAATTGTGCTCCTTTGATCCCTGCCTATGATTGTCTACCGTGGCCGATGATGTTGCTCGCAATCGAGTACGTATGCTAAGGTAACTTGTACAAATTATCAAGATGGAAATAAGAAGGCATATCCTACTCGCGACCAAAACATATTCCCCCTTCAATTCTGACAAATGGAAGGATAATACGGTAAAACCAAAGAAAACAAGGCCGACGACCCAAACAATAACGATGCTATAGATGTAAACCCGACTGTTTGTGATGCGATGACGGATTGGCCGCAAGACGGCGAAAGCACGTTCCAAGGAGACAAGGGCGAGAAAATAAACGGACGAACTCGAAAAAAGCATAAAAAATGCCGCTGAGGGATTTGATCGGCTCTGTCTTAATACACTGCCTGCGTAGCCCTCTCCAATATCTTGAAATTTCACGGTTCCTATGACAATGAGTTCTGTAATCCCCACAAGAAAATCAGCGACTGCGAGGTTGACCAGAAGGAAATAAGTACGCGTTAGGCGGGATCTCTGGGTCCAAAAGACGAAGATAGTGAACGCGTTTCCAACGATAATAATGATTCCTTGTACTGTGTAGATGACCACGAGGGTAATGTACGTTGAAGTAGGCATGTCCCTGCTCGTTCTCTTGCCAATTTATCCCAGCAGTCGCGAAACAGTTCTCGCATGCACAGTTGAAAAGATGATGATGAACTCAGGCTATAAATGGCCTTCGTCGAACTATTATTTCTATGTAGACGTAGACTAATAAGGAAAATCATGGAAATACAGGTGCCACTGATCTTTAGTTCGATAAGATTCAAATAGCTGCGTTGTGTCGAGGATATTCGATTAATCTGAGATGTCGCACCTGAATCAATAGTCCATTACCGAGTTCCCACGGGCCTCTGTATCAAAACGAGGTTAAGTGCTCAGTCTTTGATATGGAAATGATTTTTCATCCTCATGCAAATAAAACTCATTTCCAAAAGAAAGGTTGTGCACTTGGCCTCATTTTGAAATTGAGGGTTTTTGGAACTCAGAAGTGGCCAATTAAAATTTATAGGAATTAAAGGGGGATATAACCTCCTTTCACATATGCCCTAAGGGTTTTGAAGAATTTAAATTCTTAACAGCAGGTGTAAGTAAACACAATTATTTGCGTCTCATGCGAAAATAACATACTACAGCTTTGATTCACTGGGGTATGAAGTCGGTGTCCTGAAGAACATAATAACCTTTCCCTCTGTGTTTTAAGATTTCTTTGGCAAATCAAAATTTCTTCAATGCAAAGACTGAATTATATTAGTGCATAGGCCAGGACCCAAAAATGAGAGAGTAGGTACCACTTGGGAGGACAAAGGCTTATATGCCTGGATCATTGATTCCTTGTCTAAGGTTTATATCAAAGTGTGATAGCAAGGTGACTCACAGCCTTTTAAGGTATGAAGGGTGTGCTAACAACCTGTTCAATCCCCTTTTATGCTTGATCTTAAACGATTTCTAGTAAAAGGAGATCACGAAAAAAAATTCAAAAAGCTTTGAGAAAATGCCAGAGGAAAGCGTCCGTGGATGAAGTCCTTTCACTGTAGACTGTGATGATTCTTGGAAAACACAAATTGAACGATCACGTGTTTATTCAGATGACAAGCAAAGACAAAATCTCCTTTCATTTCTACCCGGTTGAGTTTCTCAATATGATAGCATTTACTTTCTGGCTGCAGGAAGACTAAAAAAACAGGCGGATGTTTCAACCGAAGGTGGTTTTTCTGGCATATTTCTCTAGTATTTTCTTTTTATTTAGTCACTTGAGCAATCGGATTTTCTTAGCTTAATTCAAAGGCATTATTGACCGCGTCAAGTCAACACAGCTTTTAATATTTGATCAATTATAATATACATTCAGAGTTAATACTCTACTTTAGGCAGGTAAAATCTTTCGAATCGAAAGTGTTGGAGTAAAAGAACCTTCCAGACCAAAGCCCAAATTATATTGCTGAACTGGTCTTATGTTTTTCGTCTTTTTCTCCGCGATCGCGTCTTTCAAAATTTGCATTCTGTAACTGTACACGAGAGGATTCACCATAGAAGTTACCAGATACATGGCATCCACGAGCCAAAACACAAGTGGTGTAAAGCATCGCTGACTAAATTCTCTCGTTGAGTAGACAACAAAAGCAGGCATCCAAAACGCAAGCGATGAAACAATTGCTATAAAAACTGTTTTTGAAAATCGTAAATTGTGCTCCCTTGATCGATGCCTGTGATTGTCTAGCTCCGCGCGTGGTGGTGCTCGCAATCGAGTGCGTATGCTTAGGTAACTAACACAGATTATCAAAAAGGAAATAAGAAGGAATGTCCTAAAAGTGAGGAAAACATATTCCCCCACAAAATCTGAATAATAGAAGGATAATAAGGTAAAACCAAAGAAAGCAAGGCCGACAGCCCAAACAATATCGATGTTACAGTTGTAAACTCGACTGTTTGTGATGCGATGACGGATTGGCCGTAGGACAGCGAAAGCACGTTCCATGGAGATAAGCGCAAGAAAATAAACGGACGTACCCGAAAAGAGAAGTATAAAAGCCGCTATCGGGTTTGCTCGGCTCCGCATCAAAAAACCGTAACCCTCCCCTTCTTATGAGATTTAGCAGTTCCAATGATTATAAATTCCGTAATGCCCACAAGTAAATCGGAGACTGCGAGGTTGATCAAAAGAAAATAAGTTCGTTTTAGGCGGGATCTCTCGGTCCAGAAAACAAAGATCGGGAATGTGTTTCCGAAGGCGATAAGGACTGCTTCCAGAGTGTACATTATTACAAGGGTAATGTACGTCGAAGTAGGCATATCTTTAGTTTGCTTTTTCTGTTTCTTATTCAAATATGTCCTGTACTAAAAAAAAAAGGAATCAGCTATCGCACAGTTGAGAAGATATGGTGCACTTAGCACAAAATGGCCTTCTTGTATTGTTTCTCCGTCAAAATGCTTTTTGACCTTTTGTTTAGACCAAACAGAGATATTGCTATATGGAAGTAGAATTTCCGTTGATTTTTAGAAATTAAGGCCAGCTAACAGGGGCACCCATGGCCAAAGGCCAGCGACTGTTTTCTGTAAAATATTTGTTCACAGAAGCAAATGTTGCCTAGAAATTTCTACTGCTTGAGGACGGCGACAAATTTCTAGATGACATGAATGTTCCATTGTTGTACAATTTTCGAAACTTATCTAATAAATTACCTGCGATTTTCTGAAGCTAAAATTTCCACATTTCACTCCTCAAATAATGTTTATGGGAGACCTAAAATCTTCCGATTCAAAAATGTGATTGAGATAGGAATCAGAATATTCTCTCATTCGTAAAACGTTAAATTGCATCTAAAATTTTCTGGGAAATAATTCTGAAGCCCTTGTAATTTCGAAAAGACTCAAGTTCCCCGAGGATGATCGAACAGATAGGTGACAATTTTATAGCGCAGCTTACTATAGAAAGTATCAATAGGAATCTAAAAGTACTCTGTGTAGCCTAAAAAGTGCTTTCAGCGTATTAGTAAAGTCTTCGTTGGGTGCCCCTGAAATAGACTCAACTAGAACCACTAAGTGGAACTTACCGGGGCCCAGTGGGACACGGGATTGCATAGATATAGTTTACCTCGCGCACCCCTCCCCCCTCCTCTGTGGAGGCTAATACTTAGTCTGAATTAACTCATGCAGAAGAAAAGCAACAAAATGCATGAGAAAGGAGGATGTTGTTGGAAGTTTGTTCAGTGTTATTACAGCTAACGGTCTGTGTTATAGTAGTGTTTTTAG